ATGAACATGAAATAAATACTTATTATTTTACATTTTAAATAAATAAATAATGTAAAATAAACATTTTATAAACGTTAAACAAACATTTAAAAAATATTTCTTTAAGCCTTTATTTCATATAAATAATTAATGTAAAATAAACATTTAATTAACATTAAATAAACATTTAAAAAATATTTTTTTCAAATTATTATTTTAAATAAATATTTAATGTTAAATAAACATTTTTTTTAAATTAACATTAAATAAATGTTAAAAAATGTTTTGTCAAACTATTATTTTAAATAAAAAATTAATTAAAAGAAACATAAAATAAACGTTAAATAAACGTTAAATTAATGAATTTTGAAAACGAATCGTGAAAAATGTAAAATTAATGCAAAATAAATGTTTAAAAAACATTTAAAAAACATTGTCTGTTGATTGGAAGTATTCGTGCTCTCTCTCCTATCATCGTAGTCCTATACTTATCATAATATTCGCACTCTCTCTTCTTCCCATTATATTCTCTCTCACGTTCTCTTTTCTTCTTACTCACAATTTTATTAAATAAATATGGTATTTATTTTATATTTTTTTAATGATATGACTTAGCAATGATTTTAATTTAGCAGCTAATTATAATAATATTTTTAGTAACATAATATTGTGAGATAGCTTTTTCAATCATAGAGTCATTATGAGATTTAGTTTTCGCGCTTCATCACTAGCGGCGTTCCGATCAACTCGCCATTACCGCACACAATTGACCATGCCTTGACATTGGCCCGTCGACAATACCCTTTCGGGATTGGGCGATAGTGGGGCAGAAGGGTAGAGATACGTGAAGATGCATTTGTACAGGACACTTACAAGACTTTGAATAAAGAGTGTCTCAACAATGAATATCGTATATCACGACTTGTGAGTTATACGTTCTTTTCTTCCAAGGAGTTCTTCCGTTATCCCTCCTCTGGATTAATCCTGACAATATATCCTTTTGAAGCATTACGATTTCAGAAGTTATACACGTGTTCGTGTTGCTGTTCTACAATATAATATAAATAATTGAGCGTTCCTAATTATCGAACCATTATAAACTATTATTGAGTAGCTATTGAACACTTATTGTACTACGTCGTACTACTGAACAGCTATCATATTATAATTAATTCTAAATAACAATAAAGAAAGAAGATTCAACAAGACAAAATAATAAAAGTCCATATTGGTGTAAAAGTGCATAAAATATTCACAAGCATCGTAAATTCAAAAATTCTCATTAAAATTTATAATGATAAATATATATTATATGAAGCCGTGAACAGTACTCTTCATGTTCAAATTCAAACATTGCGTCGAGAACGATACTCTGAGCTGTGCCAGTATATGCATATCGTCAATGAAAAATTTAAATATTTTGTAACACTTTTAGGTGAAAATTGTATCATCGATAAATGTGATGCTGTAGATTTTTTGCACAAAATTTATAATAAAAAATCAAATATAGAGTGTGAGTTAATAGTTTATGCTTTAGATAATGTTGTAAACAGTGTGAAAAATAAATGTATATTTTATTGTTAGTCGGAAGCAGGTGCTTAAAATTTGATTTAAAATTAATTAAATTAAATTAAGTTCCTGCTTATAAATGTTGTAAGAACTATATAATAAGAACTATATAATAAGAGCTATATATTGTAAAATTACGTTATATGTAAAAGTAAACAGTAATAAAATTTTATTAGGACCGACATGAAATTAATCACTTAAATAAAAGCATATTCCAGCCTACGACGGTCAAAGCTAGATCTTCTATAGGGTGGGCCATCTATTGGTACGTTTTTAATTGGTACGATTTCGTTCATGTGGCTCCCTCTACTGGCCTTACAGTATGCCATTCGGTTTTTTTAATTGGTACGTTTTTTATTGGTACGATTTCGTTCATGTGGCTCCCTCTACTGGCCTTACAGTATGCCATTCGGTCACCCCAATTATTCAAAAACGTACCAATAGATGGC